ACAAATTTAACTGACAAGTTAAAAGTACATGAGTCAAAAATTAAAAAGCAATAATATTCCGAGTAGGGGTTCTAATAGTGGCACAAATCAAGTTACAGAGGGAAGGTGGTTCTTAACAATAAAAGGTCTATAGACTAGCACTTTGTCTATTATAGTGTAGAGGTTAGGAACCACACGATGTAGAGGCTCAGCTATGTCATTTATGGTAATTTCAAGTAATTCTGTTATCAATTCTTTCATTTCTTATTCAAAGTATTTGTGTCTAATCAACTCCTTAATTTATTTTGTTAAGTTTGCCAATGGCTTGTCTATTTGATTTACCCTTTCAAAACACCCCCTCCTGGTCTTGTTGATGGTTTCAATTGTTTTTCTGTTTTCTATCCCATTAATTTCAGACCTTGCTCTTATAATTTCCTGTCTTCTAGAGGCTGTGGATTAGCTTGTCATTCTTTATTTTATTTTGCTCCTTTCTTCTTATTTGTTTATGTGTTTCCCTATTGCTATCAACTTCTCCCTGAAAATTGCATTACCTTTATCTCAGAGGTTTTGATATGTTGTATTTTCATTTGGTTTGAGGAACTTTATATTTCTTCTACAGTCCAGTAGAACTCAAACTAGGAGTTATTTAGCTTCCCTATGGATAGTATTTTATCCTTTACCCTCTTGTTATTAATTTCTATTTTATGGATTTGTGTTTTGAAAAGATGCTTTGAATATTTTTTTTATTTCAATGTTTTAAAATTTGTTAAGGCTTGGTTTGTGTCCTAATATATGATCAATTCTGGAGACTGTAGCATGTGCACTTGAGGAGAACGTAAATTGCATTTTAGTTAGGTGATGTACCCTGAATACATATACAAGTTCAAGTTAGCTAATTGTATAGTTTTGTTTTTCTGCATCTTTGTTAAGTTTCTTTCAAGTTGACCTATACTTTTGTGAGAGTGTTGTGTCAAAGTCTTCTACTACTATTGCGGAGTTGTCTATTTCTTCCTTCAAGTCTGTTAACCATCGTTTTATATATTTTGCTGGTCTATCATTTGGTGCATAGATATTGACAGAAGTTATATCTTCTTTACCTATTGTGTCTGTAATCATTATATAGTTCCTTTCCCTATTCTTTAAGACAGTTTTCATCCTGAAGTCTATTTTATCAGGGATTAGTATTGCCACTCCTGCTTTTTTGTGAATTTTATTTACATGGTAAATAGTTTCCCAGCCTTTAATTTTTGGTCTAGCTTTCTCCTCATTTCTTAGATGTGTCTCTTATAGGCAGCATATTGATGGGCTTCTTAATTGGTGCATGTAACCCATTCCAATTAAGTATGATTATTGATAGTCCAGATTTTATTTTTACCATTTTGCTGTGTTTCTGGTTATTTTGGTCCTTTTACTTTCCTTTATTGTCTCTGTGTAAAGGACTTTCTTTACAATTTCTTGAAGAGTTGATCTAGTTTTTTTTATAAATTCTTTAAGTTCCTGCTTTTTTGTAGATGACCTAACTTTTCCCTTATATTTGATGGACAGCTTTGTTGGGTATAGGATCTTCAGCTGGCAATTGTTTTCTTTCATCCTTCTGTATATATGTCTTCGCGTTATCTTCTTGCTTGCATGGTTTCTGCTAAAAAATCAGAGCTTAATAAAATTGGTCCTCTTTTGTAGGTGACTTTGTTTTTTTCATGCTGCTTTTAGTATTCTATCCTTATCTTTGATTTTGGAGAATTTTACTGATATATATTTCTTATGTCAGCAGGTGTGAGCTATTTGATTGTTTTGATTTGGTTAACAATCAGTTGTGGACTGCTAGCCTCTTGTTTAAATCAATTTCGACCTGATAAGCAGGCCTTTTTTATAAGTTGGTTGAGCCCTGGGGCCTGTGACCATCCTTAATGTAGAGACTGATTTGGTATTGTTGTTGCTATGTGTTGTTGAGTCTCTTGTGACTCATAGCAACACTATGTACAACAGTACTGAAACCTGCTCTATCCTGTGACAACTTTACTGTCTTTGACACACCTACCCTCATTAACCCAGTCACTGTATCAATCCATCTCATTGATTGTCTCCCTCTCTTTCTCCTTCCCTCTACCCTTCCAAACATGGTATTTTGGTATTAGAGTTACAAATTAAATTGTCAGTTTGTTGTGTTTGGGAAGAACATTGTTCTTATTAGTACCACACTTGTCTGTCAATTTGCTGTATTGGGGTAATTTGTGGGTTGCTGTGATATTGAAATCTATGCCACTGATGTGTCAAATGCCATAAGGGTTACCCCATGATAGGCATGGTTTAGTCAAGCTCTCAGACTGAGAAAGACTATTAAGCAAGATTCACTATCTGTTTCTTAAATAATAGGCCTCTGAAAATCCTATGAACAGTAGAGGAACATGGATAGTTATAGTAGTAGTGGTAAAGCCCAGGTTAGAAGTCAATTGAAATGTTGTTGTTGTTTTAATTATTGGAATATGGAATGTATGAAACATGAATATTAGAAAACTACATGGGCATTGACATAGTAGGTATTAGTGAGACAAGACAGACTAGCTTTGGCCACTTTAAATGACATAATCATATGATATACTTTGCTGGGAATGGGGGGAAAAACAGCAAAAACCAAAAAAACAACCAAGAACGGTGTCGTAATAGTAGTTAAAAAGTCAATTTCAAGTTCTATCCTGAAATACAATGTTGTGTGTGATAGGATCCATATACATTCAAGAAAGACTTGCTTATATGACTATTATTCAAATACTACTACATCTAGAGCCAAAAAGGAAAAAACTGAAATTTTTTACCAAATCTTGCAGTCCAAAATTGATCAAACTGTAATCAAGAAGTGTTAACGATAGTTGGTGACTGGAATGCAAAAGTTGGAAATGAAGAAGAAGGAATAGTAATTGGAAAATAAAGGCTTAGTGATAGAAATGCAGCTGGAAATAGAATGATTGAATTTTGAATTTTCAATGATTTCTTCACTGCAAATACCTTTTAAAAATGACACAAATTATGGCTTTACTCATGACCTCACCAGATGAACTACATAGGAATCAGAATTGACTACATCTGTGGAAGGAATCATTGAAGAAGCTCTATATCTGCAGTCAGAACTAGGCCAGGGGCAGAATGTGGGTCAGACCATCAATTACTCATGTGGAAGTTCAAATTGAAGCAGAAGAAAATAGAAATAAGTCCACTACAACCAAAATATGAACTTGGATTTATTCCATCTGAATTTAAAAATAATCTTAAGAATAGATTTGAAGCATTAAACACCAGTGATTGAAGAAGACCAGACAAATTGTGGGATGATATCAAGGATCACCCAAGAAGAAAGCAAATGGCCATTAAAAAGACGAGGAAGAAAGATAAAACTGAAATGGGTGTTAGAAGAGACTCTAAAAATTGTACTAGAATGTTGATACTCCAAAACAAAGGGAAAATAATGCCAAGGTAAAAGAGTTGAACAGAAAAGTTCGAAGGGCAGCTCAGGAGAGCAAAGCAAAGTGTTATAATGGAATGCGCAGAGAACTTGAATTGGAGAATAAAAAGGGAAGAACTTGTTCTGAATTCCTTAAGCTTGGAGAACTGAAAAACAAATATTTTTTTTCGAAAACAATAAAAATCTTCACTATTAAAAACAAAACAAAATCCTATGATGAGAGAAGCGCAGGGCTAGGAGAGAGTTAAGGGTCCCCAGTGGAACAGGCAAGGAAAATACAGGAAGCATCACTGTTTCTGCTGCAGGGCCTCCTTTCTTGTTGCATCCTGAAGCAACTGTGTGTCAACTTCATCTGCTGGCAACTGCACATAGCGAACCACTGAGCCACGGATGAAACAGTTCATCACGTATAACATATGAGGGTATTTTTCAAGGTCTGTGACACTGATGTCAGTTAGTTTGATGTTCAGATACTGATCCACAGAATGGAGGGTGCCACATATGCTCAGATCATTTTTTAGTTCCACAACCACATCCTTTCCCACAAGAGATTTGAAAATGGACCGCAAGCGAGACAACAGAACCAAAAGCACGAGCCGAGCCGAGACCTGTCGGGAAGTGCAGGGAGCACGGGCGCGGCTAGCCGGGGTTGCAAGGGCCGCCAGACACTCCGAGGGCATAAAGGAGAAAGCACAGCGAGCTAAGGCCAGGAGATGCACGAGCAAAAGAGCGACAGAAGCAGCCAAGGAAGGATAAAAGCCGGGAAGGGGCGGAGCGCCCGCCTTCCTGAAAAACAAACTTAAGCTTTGAGTTACAATATGGAAAGATTCTATGGGCAATATATTGAGTGACCCAGGAAGCATCAAAAGATGACAGAGGGAATACACAGAATCACTGTACCAAAAAGAACTGACTGACACTGAAGAATTTCAGGAAGTACCATATGCCATATGAGCAGAAGTCAATGGAAATGGAGGAGGAGGAAGTTGAAGCTGTTTTGAAGACATTGGCAAAAAACAAGGCTCCAGGAATCAATGGAATACCAATTTACTTACTTTAATTAACAGATGAAGCCCTAGATGCACTCACCAGTCTGTACTAGGAATTTGGAGGACAAATGTTTGGCCAATGGATTGGAAGAGGTCCATATTTGTTCCCGTTTTCAAGAGAGGTGATCCAACAGAATGTGGAAACCATTGAACAATATTATTAATAAAACATGTAAGCAAAATATTGCTGAAGATCATAAAAAATGGCTAGTACAGTACATAGTTAAGAAACTGACAGAAGTGAAAGCAGTATTTAGATTGGGTTATGGCACCAGAAATATAATTGCTGATGTCAGATGGATCCTGGTTGATACTAGAGAATACCAGAAGAATGTCTATTTGTGCTTTATTGACTATGCAAAGGCATTTGCCTGTGTGGATCATAACAAATTATGGCTAACATTGAGGAGAATGGGAATCCCAGAGCACTTAATTGTGCTCATGCGAAAGCTAAACCTAGATCCGGAGGCTGTTGGGCCAACAGAGCAAGGAAACACTCATGGTTTAAAATTAAGAAGGGAGTGTGTCAGGGTTGTATTCTCTCTCCGTACCTGTTCAATCTGTACAGTGAGCAAATTATTCAAGAAGCTGAACTCTGTGAAGAGGAATGTGGCATCAGAATCAGAGGGAAACTCATCAATAAACTGCATTATGCAGATGACACAACCTTGCTTGCTGAAAGTGAGGAGGGCTTGAGTACTTATTACAGAAGATCAAAGAATAGAGCTTTCAATATGAATTGCATCTCAATGTCAAGAAAACAAAGATTCTTACCCTGAACCAATAGGAAATATGATAAATGGAGAAGAGTTTGGAATTGTCAACAATTTCATCTTAGTTGGATCCGTAATTAACACCATTGGTGTTGGTAGTCAGGAAATAAGGAGATATATTGCACTAGAGAAGTCTGCAGTCAGGGGTTTCTCCAAATTATTGAGGAGTAATGATGTTAATTTAAGGAGTAAGGTGTATCTGATTCAGGCCATAGTCTTTCCAATCTCTTGCTATGCATCTGTGACCTGGAGACTGAATAAAGATGACAAGAAGAATTGACACCTTTTAGCTGTGGTGTTAGAGATTATTACTGAATATCCCATTTGCTGCCAAAAGAACAAACAAATGCATCGTGGAGAGGGTGCAGCCAGAAAGCTCTCTGGAGATAAAGATGATGAGGCTTCACCTCACTTAACTTTGGGCATGTTTCTCGGAGAAGCTATTCATTGGAGAAGGAAAAGATTCTCAGAAAGTTAGAGGATTGGCCAAGGAGAAGAAGACTCTCAGCCAGGTGGATTAACAAAGTGACTATTGCTATCGGGCTAGTGTGTCAGGAATTGTGAGGATGGCACAGGGTAGGACAGAGATCAGCTGTATTCATAGGGTGGCTATGGGTCACTCAATTCCATGTCACCTAACAATCACAACAAAAACAGCAACATGTCTTTCTTGATGCTTTTCTTTTGAAGTTTAGTCTGTTTGGAGGATGGTGAGCTTCTTGAATGTGGATTTTCTAATTTTTCATGATGCCTGAGAAGTTTTCTTCTAGTACCTCTTCTACAATTTTCTCAGTGCCTTTCATCTCCCCTACAATTCTGGTTGTTGTTATTCTATGCTGTCAAGTCACTAGCAACCCACTGCTGACCCTCTGGCAGGTTTTCAGAGGCTGTTAATCTCATGGGAGAAGGTTGCCCATGCTTCTCCCACGGAGCAGCTGGTGAATTTGAACCATGTACCTTTGAGATTGAAGCTCATCCTACCATATATATGTTATTCTGTCTGATGTTATCCCACATGATTCAAGTGTTTTCTTCCACTTGCTTTGTCTTGTTTTAGGTTTTTCTTCTGGTAAGTTCCCATTGAGGTTATTGTCTTCCTATCTCTTCTATTCTGCTTGTTTGTCCCTCAGGCATGTTGGGGAATTCTGCCGTCCAGTCTTGATATTCTGGATTGCATTTTCTTGCTTTTCTGTTATTTCCAGTAAAGTGTTGGTTGTGCCCTCTTTGTCTTGTACCAAATTTTTAAATCCTTATAGTTTTTTATTGTTTAAATTATTTTTTCCAATATTTGTGTCTTCTTTTTTGCTGTTTTTTTAACTCCACGTTGATATATTTCTTCTGGCTCCCTGTCTTGGAGATATTTGCATTTTTATGGTTTCAAATATTTCTTCCATCATTTTTACCTTCTTTTACCATAAACACAAGCTGGGTTTAGAAGAGTTGGTGGCACTAGAGCCATTATCACCAAAGTCAGATGGATCTTGGCAGAAAAGAAAGAGTACAAGAGGAATATCTATCTGTGTTTCATTGACATTGCAAAGGTATTTGATTGTGTGGATCAAAACAAATTGTGGCTAACCTTGAGGAAAATGTGAATCCCAGAACATTTGTGCTTATGTGAAGCCTGTACTTGAACCAGGAAGCAGTCATCAGAACAGAGCAAGGAAACATTGTATGGTTCAAAATCAGGAAAGGTGTGTGTCAGGGATGCATCCTGTCTCCATACCTTTTCAATCTATATGCAGAACAGATTATTTGGGAAGTAGGGCTTTATGAGGAGAAATGTGGCATCAGGATTGGAGGAAGACTCATCAACAACCTACATTATGCAGATGACACAACCATGCTTGCTGAAACTGAGGAGGACCTGAAGTGCTTGCTGCAGATGGTCAAGCTCTGCAGCCTTCAATATGGACTTAAGCTCAACATCAAGAAGACAAAGATTCTCACCCCTGAGCCAATTGGCAGCACCATGATGAATAGAGAAGTTGATATTGTTAATAATTACAAGTTGCTTGGTTCCAGTCAACACTCTTGGCATCAGCAGTCAGGAAATAAAAAGATAAATTGCTTTGAAAAAAACTGCTGTCAGGGACCTCTCCAGAGTAATGAGAAGCAAAAATGTCAATCTAGACGTGTGCTGATCCAGGCCATGGTCTTTGTAATTACTTGCTATGCTTCAGAGAGTTGGACAATGACTAAAGATGACAGAAGAAGAATTGATGCCTTTAAGTTGTCATGGAGGAGAGCCTTGAACATACCATAGACTGCCAAGAAAACAAATAGATCTGTCTTGGAGAGGGTGAAACCAAGTTTCTCCCTGGAGCCTAGGATTTTAAAGCTCAACATTAAGAAAATGAAATTTTCAACATGGGGCCAATTGTCAGCATCATGATAAATGGTAAAGAGTTTACTTTGCTCCACAGTCAATATTATTGGCACCAGCAGCCAGGAAATTAAATGACAAATTGCATTGGGAAAGTCTGCTGTCAGGGACCTTGCCAGAGTACTGACGAGCAATAATGTCAGTCAGGATACTAAGGTGTGCCTGATCCAGGCCATAGTCTTTGCGATTAATTTGTGATTATATGTCAGAATACTCAGCAAGGACTAGGGATGATAGAAAAAGAATTGATGCTTTTGAGCTGTGATGCTGGAGAAGAGTATTGAATATACCATGAACTGCCAAGAAAACAAATAGGTTTGACCTGGAGAGTGTGAAACCAGACTGCTCCTTGGAGGCAAGGATTCTGAGGCTTCATCTGACATACTTTGGACATGTTGCAGGGAGGGACCAGTCCTTGGAGAGGGACATCATGCTTGGAAGGGTGGAGAGACAGCACAGTAGAGGAATACCCTTGATAAGATGGATTGACTCAATGACTGGGGTGATAATAAGGACAGGTGTATCATAGACAATAAAGTTGGCTCGGGATAGAGCAGGTTTCAGACCTATTGTACATTGGGTCGCTATGAGTCACAAATGACTTGTTGTTATGTGCCGTCAAGTCGTTTCCGACTCATAGCGACCCTATGCACAACAGCCCTAAACCCTGCTCTATCCTGCGCCAACCGCACCACCTCTGACACACCCATCCCGATTACCCCAGTCACCGAATCAATCCATCTCATCAAATGACTTGAGGGCACATAATACCAACAATGATTATGAACAATTTTACTTTGCTTATTTGTCATTATTGTATCTTTGTTGGGAAGGATACAAAAGGAAGAAGAGTCATATTTTTGATGATAGCACCTCTTCTGCTCTAGGAAGTGTTGAGGGATGGGATGCCAACCTGGGATAACATTTCCTACAGGAATCTAAGGTAGTCTTAGCTAGGGAGGTAATCTTTGCCAATTTGGGGGTTGGATACAGCCAGGGTACACAAAGCAGATGCGGCTAATGAAGAGAAAATTACCGGCAATCTGATGCCCAGGGATTAGTCACTGAGCTCCACAGATCTGCATGTGATCATAGTATGCACCTAGTGAGGCATTCTGAAGGGTTCCCAGTGAGAGAGAAGAATCGTAGTCTGGGGTGGTGTTCCCACTAATGCAGGGAGGGCCTGACCCAAGTCAGCCATGGCATAGTCTACCAGCTCCTAGAAGGAGTTTCTGAATCTCAGTCTGTACTTTCTCTGTCTCTCTCTCCCCTCTCTTTTGGCACCAGGTATAAAATGGCAGAGGCTTGAATTCAGGTGCAGCTGTGATGAGGCTGCCAGAACAATGGCAGCCAACTGGTGGGTGGTGATGGGGGTAAAAGCCACTGCCCTGATCCTTGGGTGAGTGTAGGGCACAAGAGAGGACGTAGCACTTCTTTTGCTGTCAGCCGTCTATTGGTATGGTCACTGCTAC